CTCTCAGATGTTAAAAAATGATCAAACATGAACAATTCACATAGGATAACAAGGGAAATTAAACATTTGTTTTTCATGCACTTTGTGCCACTTTAATGAATTGTTTACTTTTTCACGCTCAATGAGTAGCTCCATAGACGACAGGATGGGTTCCTAATTATAGTGTGCCAGAGTTCGCTCCAAAAAAAAGTGAAGGAATGAATTGTAACAATTGTGGCTATCAAAAAGCACAGCACACCCTTTCCCTCGCCTGAGCTCTGTCTGACCCCTCTCTATGGGCTACAAGTTCGCCCGAGACATCTCGCCCTGAATCAAAGTCCCAGAACAAACGCAGGAAGCACAGAAAAGACCAACCCTGGTGGATCTGGAGCTTTGTCAGCCAGTAGCAGTAGCGCCTCCATCCCAGAGATTTATGGGATCTGGGTAATGACTGCTCTGAGGTGACATGAGAGATGTTGTCTTTTTTGGGATGTTTTAACTGGATACTTTTACTCGCTCGTTACATAACCTGAAGAGCGTGAAAGAAATTAGGGTATAGGACCCAAACCCATAATGCAAACTTGCAAAAGATTAATAACAACTTGTGAAGTAGATGAAGTAGACATGACTATGTTCCTGTCCAATCCCATAGTGCAGTGTGACGAGCTTAGGAAAAACAGACAAATGTTTCTTGTAAATATAATCTATTATAGAAAACAAATGCTTATTATAAATATTTAAATTCACATAAGTAACTTACAAAGATGCTACCTATGTACAAGTAGTTGGGATGCTTCCTTAGAAGGTGCCTATGTAGTGATTAGACAATAAGGCAGCTCACTAGGTTTTGTAACAGCCATACATATGCCTTTCTCTTGTCTTTTTATGTATTATAGCGAGGGCCCAATAAGACGCCTGTGGCTGCCATCTGTCTGACCAGCTTGATCTCCATGGCCTTCATCTTTGTCGGCCAGGTCAATGTACTGGCTCCCATCGTCACCATCAACTTCATGCTAACCTACAGCATAATTGATTATTGCTATTTCTGTGTGGTGAAAACCCATGAGCTGCAGGTCCAGCAAAGGATGACGCTGATCAGGAGGTCAAGCTCCAGAAGATCACTTGTGTCTAGCACTCACCCCCATTATGGCAGCAGTGGAGCCATCAGTGAACATGTGAACGGCACACTGCTGGAGTTCACCAAAGACATGGACCAACTATTTCCATTGCCCAGCACGGACACCGCTGATGAACAGAGATTTTATTTTCCTGCCTCCAAGACCCGGGGCAGGAAGTCAAAGATTCCAGCTAAAGAAACGCTGATGAACAGTTTTGGGTTGGACTTGAACAGCAATGGACCATTAGATAAAGGAAAAGATGAGAGGGAGGCGGAACAAACTTTTGGATTAGATGATGATACCAGTAGCCAGTTAGGACTTATGGAGTCTGTCCTTACAACAGAACACAAGAGGAAACAGTCTTTGCCTAATTGTGGCCCAGTTGAACTTGAACAACTCCCAAGAGAACAGATAGACAGAAATGGTACATAACTCTCTACAAAACTCCTCAATATAGTGATCAAAATTTATATTACGCCTTATATACCTTTCGTTCACAGGTTCAGAAACAAATCTTGAAGGATCAGAAATCAGATCAATCCAGGGTTCGGTCTATGGCAGATTTTGCAACCACTGGGTTTCATTAGTTGGTGTAAGTTTGGCAAAAATGATCCAGCCTGTAAGCAATAAGCTTGTAAGCTCAAATTTTTAATGCTGTTTTTATCTTTCTTTAGGCATTGTGCTCTTGTATGATAATGTTTGTTATCCAGTGGATGTACGCCTTGATTAATATTACAGTTGCCCTTATCCTCTTTCTCTACATTGGAACAACAAGCCCAGGTTTGCCAACAGGTAACTGTAATTGTACCTAACTTTTATTTGATTTGAATAATCTTGAGAAATTTTGATAAATAACCCCAGTTGCTCATAATAAACAGAAAATTGTCTGAAAAACATTTCGGATGCCACACACTGCTTATTTCAGACAAATATATTACTTGTAGGTCTAATAAGGCTAATAGCTTAAAATACTTTTTTTTTTTGGGATAGGTTTGCCACAATTTTGATATTAGGATGATTATTTCAACTATTTAAATTAAAGTCCAGTAAAAATAGAGGTGTATTATGCATATATCCATCATGATGATGACTTTTTTTTGTTGGGAAATATAAAATTATATTCTCTGCCCACAGGTGCAGCAGCTCGCTTCAATTTCTTCAGCTGCCTCAAGACCTCGCTGCATAATTTTGGGAGGTATGTTGCATAGTCCTCTGTAGGCAGACTTGACTTTTCCAGCATAACATCTGGTACTTATTGCAGCTTTGTGTGGCAAAGAACCACCTACTTAGACAGGAAAAGTCTGATCTACATTTTTTTCATGATGTTTAAGGCCAGGATCAGGAATGCACTGAAATTAAAATTCTGGATGCACTTGGCCAACAACCAAAACCGAAAATGCTTTGTAATATTTATTTATTATTTTATTAAGTAATTTAACTCAATAATTTTAATGATACTGAATTTAAAAAAACACAAGCCAATAAAATAGCCACACTTTTATTGAAAGTAACAATAAAATTGGGCAGAAATAATATTAATTTATTTTTATTCAGTTCTATACAACAGAATCAGATGTAACGTTTTTTTTTATAATTAATTATCCAAATAATGTATAGTACTACAAAGCTATTATTATCAGAGCATGTGAGCAGAGCATAGCGTCACAAGAGGGTAGCATAATTTTGACCAGAATTGCCATGTTACAGCACAGTAGCGCTATTGCAAATAGGAACAAGTATACTACATAGAAATTTCCTGTCGGCACGTTATTTTAGCAAACTTTGCATGAGCAGTACATTAGTGTAGCGTTTGCATGGGTCGTGAGCAGCACAAAGGAACGCACATTCATAGAGCGGAGCATCACACCACAAAGTGATGACGGCTAGAGGGAGAGTGAAACCTGCGTGCTGGACACAAATTTCTGCTCATATTTTCGGCCGAAAACCAAAAATGCAATTTTTGGCAGCCAAAACATCGGTGCATCCCTAGCCAGGATTACTTGATACAGAACATACCACAATAATGGCATGGACGTTTCCACCAGTGCTTATACAGAAAACACTGAAAAATAGATCAGATCAGATTTTCTGTCTGTCCAAAAGAAAAGTACTGATTATTTTACAGGCATTCTGCAGAACGTCAGTCTGAGTTAACAGTTTTGCTTATTGATATCTTGTTAACTTGACACTATGTGCCTTTCTTTCGTATATACAGTGGGGACAATTGGTGGCTGACTAAATACTTTTTTGCCCCACTGTATGTTACTATTCCAAATGAGCTGAGACTGAGTGTTACATGAAGATAAATTCAAAGCTATTGTCTTCATGCACTATGGAAAATCTTTAAATGTCTTCTGATTTAATGACACTATTCTTTAGCTTGGCTTGTTAGGAGAGTTCTTCAATTAAAACTAAATAAAGCACTTACAAACATATTACTGTTATGTGGGTATGTGGTAGAGGCCATTGTGGATGATGATTAGAAATGAATATACACAAAACCGAACCTCACATTTCCAATCATTTGCCTCTCTTCTTAGGCGAGATGAGGCCCTTCAGGACCAGATTGTGGTGACACCCTCTTTGTCAGCTGTTGGCATGGAAACCAGGCAGCTAACAGAGGAAAATGCAGACTTTGCCTTACGTGATCGTTACCATCACTCCTCCTTTATCACCACCACAGACAAGATAGTCCATTCTCAGTCCAACTGAGCATGTCACAACCGTGCCCTGCTAACCAGCTGGATTGAAACAGTGGACACATGGGACTAAATAATCTTGACTGATCACTCAACTGAGCAGCACTTGAAATATATATTTTTAATTACTGCATTTCTCAGGTAGTACTCGGAGGACTGAGCTTTATTTCCTGAAACATCTGAAGGAAACTAATAATGCACATTCCCTGAAAATCGGGAATGTGCATGCATTGTGAATTAATTTGCCGTCACGCTTGTAAAAGGTTTAATGTGCACCATGGGCGTTTGATTTTCAAATTATAAGTACATTTTGTCTTGTATTTTGATTGACCTCATTGAGTTCATAACACCAAGAAGTGCCGTGCCCATTCAAACTAGAACGTGCCCCCTCCAAGTTAATTCTTCCAAAATAACTTCCATTTCCCCCCCCCAAAAAGAACAATTGTTCTAGGGGAAAAAACACCTATTTTCATGTTGCTTGTATGTTTTCATGTTACGTGTCAATCAAGTTGCAGCTTCTGCAAATCAGTTGCTCCAAACTTGTTAGACTTTCTTTTTCTTAGTGAAGGACAAATTATTTAGCATGAGAACCAAAAGCTACTTTTTCCCATAATGTTAAACTACACAGTGATCTATCAATCCCGAACTGATTGTATGGAAGGTTGGGATTTGAACCAAGGTCCCCTTGTTTGCTAAACAAGAAGTCTAACATGACAGTAAAGTGCAGATGACACTAATAATAAATAAACTGCTGTGATTACATTTCTAGTTCAGGTAGCAAGCAACGGTGTCTCTGCTCATTTGTATGAAGGTTAGCCCATGGTGATTCATGTTGCCAGGAAATGCCTAAAAATGCTAATAAAAAAATTAAAAAAAATGGTCAGGTTGCATGGTCACGCACCTTAATGTGTTATCAGTGTTTCTCCCATGCCTTAATGCATAGAAATGTCTAAAAGTGGGGAGCAAATTATTGTAGTATTAAAGTAGTGTTAATGCAAACTGGGGTTTGATTTAGATTTGAGAGGGAAAAATAAGAATCCCACCTGTTGTGGCATCATCTGACTGTCATCTCTGGCTGAACCGAAATGAGCACGCATTTTGTCCGAGTGCGTTCATCCAGAAGAATGGGGTGGAAACCGCTATCGCCTGCCCGAGGGGAGGAGTCACCCACGGCTCCGCTTTCCCACTCTCGCTGCATGAAATATAAGCCTTTTAAGTCTTCATCGCCAACTTTAAAACTAATATAAGGAATTTACTCATGGGAAACCGTTAAAGGGACTCACTTTCCGATGGTGACCCGGATCTCTTTGGCGTTTTATTTATTAGGAAGTCCGCCCGGTCGTCTTTATAATGGAAACGTGTGGTGCGAGACGCGCTTACCGTGTGGTTTTCATGGTCTTTCTGCTTGTCCTAAATACTGTGATTGGCGAAACCCTCTCTCCAGACACGGACACCGATAACCCATTGAGTACCGAGACTTTTTTTATCCGAACAACTGGTTTAAAACAAACCTCTTCCTGGCCGGGGAGAGAGGCCACTGCAACAGCTGTGGGTCTGTCGAGTGGACTGGGGGATATGACGGACCTTCCCGCCAGTGTGTCCATCACTAGAGCTAGAGAAGGTAAGCCCTACACGCGCTGCGATAGGCAGCACACTAGGTTCTGCAAGAGCCCCAGTGTACAGTTAGTGTCAACTAGATCAAACTGAGAAGTTTATTTTGTGGTGTACTGTAATATTGTAGAATTGTGTTAACCAGGAAAACTTAAAATATCTTATATATAACATTTCTACAATAAATTATTAATGTTGTCTCAATTCAGTGCATTATTATTATTATTATTATTGTAGTAATAATAGTATAAAGAACTATGTTTTTATTATGCAGATGAAGTACTTGGTCAATTGTGAAGTCTGTGAACTAATGAGATTACTTGTACTCAGTTTCCTCAGTTTTTGGAAGAGCATCTCTTTTAATGAATGACCTTGGCTCATGATCATCCTGGTTCATAAACTGTTCCACTTTCTTGAGCCAATGAGTTCTTTTTAATATGCAGTTTATGTTAGTGATTGTTTTTGTTTTATTTATGTGATTTAATTTGGAGAACTTCCACTCCATGTCATCTGACCTGTTGACATTTCGGCATCAAGTGTGCAATTAAGTAAATTAGTATTAAATGCAGTGAACTGGCTCTGATATACTTTGTTTAAAAAAAATTTGTAGTGAATTTTAAGTAAATATATTTAAAAATGGGTATTTAAAACACTTTAATGCTATCATTTTATATTACCGTTATGTTGGTGGTTAGCCACTCCTTCTAGGTATACATTTCAGAATTTGTCTTTAAAAAATCCATATGGATCTATAGCCTTTTATTTTATTTAAGACATCAGAGGATTTGGGGATGGGGATATCAGTTATGTGACACATTATTCTAGCTTTACTTTCACATGCATAACTGAGAAATGTGGCGATACACCTTTTGATACACTTATGGGAAATAAAGGCGAGTTGTGAGTTAATAAATATGTATTTTGCTTTCCAAACCAAAAATCTCCAATTTTTTTTGCAGCTGTGTTTGAGCACAATCTTTTCGTATTTTGCATCAGTGTGCACTGGGTTAGGCACAAAAAAACACTGTAATTGACTCCTTTTTTTGATCTCACGCATTACTGTTCAGATCATATTAATCTACTTTCTGTAGAAACGGCTTGTTTTAAGGCCTTTCTCCATCCCCATCAATTAGAGCTGACTGAATATCCCTGAATGTAATGCAAGCTGAAATATCTTCTGCTGACAGATCCCTGTAATGCGTTTTCAGTGAGTGAGTCCATTTTTGGATTGTGACATGACCCCAAATCATATCATGGCTTTCCACACTAATATCAGCTTCAACAGATATTGTGGGAAAATTCATTTCACAATAACTTATTCAGATTCAAATGAATTGCTACAAACCAGAAGTATGATTGTTGTATGTTATGATTTTATTTTGTTGTCATGTACAACAGAGCCATGTTGCAGTTTCCTACCAAGAAACAAAGCAACAAGTATATCTTACTGTACTTAATTTAACTGATTCACATATAAAAGACAAAAAATGAAATGGAAGTTCTGCATCAGAGCTGTTAAATATTTTATGAACTGGGTAAAAAGCATGTTTTCTTTATTTGTATCATATTGGAGTATCTAGGGATGATTTGTTGACCATAAAGGTAATGCTACTCAATATGTTTTTATCCACTCGGTTTAAATAGCCGAAATAGTCAGAGGTCCTCTTGATTATAGTTTTGCCTGTGTATGAACTCCGTGCAGGCAGTGACAACGCTGTAATATGGACTTTGCTAGGTCAGTAGTATGATTGTTGTATGTTATGATTTTATTTTGTTGTCATGTACAACAGAGCCATGTTGCAGTTTCCTACCAAAAAACAAAGCAACAAGTATATCTTACTGTACTTAATTTAACTGATTCACATATAAAAGACAAAAAATGAAATGGAAGTTCTGCATCAGAGCTGTTAAATATTCTATGAACTGGGTAAAAAGCATGTTTTCTTTATTTGTATCATATTGGAGTATCTAGGGATGATTTGTTGACCATAAAGGTAATGCTACTCAATATGTTTTTATCCACTCTGTTTAAATAGCCGAAATAGTCAGAGGTCCTCTTGATTATAGTTTTGCCTGTGTATGAACTCCGTGCAGGCAGTGACAACGCTGTAATATGGACTTTGCTAGGTCAGCTTAAGGAAGGAAACAGCAAGTCCCAATGGATCAGATCCCCTCCATTTTTAGGGCCCAAGCTTTTGTTAGGTTAGACGAGCTTGGCTGCCAATTGTTCTCCACCCAAAACCATTACATCCGCAGTCACTTCTGAAAACATCTCACATAATTCATGAGGTTTCCTAAGGTTCACACCACATGAAGCGCACCCTAGTGGACATCCCCTTCCTTGAATTTCAATCGTTTTTGCAATTTTGATAGTTTACAATGCATAGTTTCAAAACATGTTGTTCTTTATTTTTTTCAAACCAGGACATTCAGAACAACCTTTAATAATCTCTACAAATACAGCTGACTGGAGGATGACCTCAGACGATTCCACTGAACGTCTGCAGACTGACAAAGAGCTTGGTTAGGTTAGACGAGCTTGGCTGCCAATTGTTCTCCACCCAAAACCATTACATCCGCAGTCACTTCTGAAAACATCTCACATAATTCATGAGGTTTCCTAAGGTTCACACCAAATGAAGCGCACCCTAGTGGACATCCCCTTCCTTGAATTTCAATAGTTTTTGCAATTTTGATAGTTTACAATGCATAGTTTCAAAACATGTTGTTCTTTTTTTTTTTCAAACCAGGACATTCAGAAAAACCTTTAATAATCTCTACAAATACAGCTGATTGGAGGATGACCTCAGACGATTCCACTGAACGTCTGCAGACTGACAAAGAGCTTTCCTTACAGCCTTACAACCCACAGCCAATCAGCTAATGCAGAAACCAACAGAGAATGTAATTGGTTTAACATGATAAAGTTGCTGACGTTAAACCGAGGTCCTGACTCTCTGTGGTCATTAAAAATCCCAAATTTGCCCATTGGCCTCTGATCATCATGGCCTCCTAACAATCCCCATATCTGCTGATTGGCTTCATCACTCTGTCTCCTCTCCACCAGTAAGCTGGTGTGTGGTGGGCGTTCTGGCGCACTATGGCTGCCATCGCATCATCCAGGTGGATGCTGCACACTGGTGGTGGAGGAGGAATTACCCCCTGACAATGTAAAGCGCTTTGAGTGCCTAGAAAAGCGCTATATAAATGTAATGAATTATTATTATTATAAAGTGATGTACGAAACATGGAGTTGGTTAATTTGATACATTTGTGTATTGGTTTTTCAGCTCAATGCCTCTCTCTCCATCTTCCATGGTTACCGACGCTCCACTTTGGGTAAAAGGTAAGTTTCTACTGATCTTCCAGAGACCCAGCAGTAATTGGCCATATGGAGCAATACATTGAATTATATTAATTTAAATACATCCATTAAAATTTTATTTGTTTTCTATGTGGTCAGTATTTCCATTTTCTTCCATTTTTTAAAACAAGTTTGAAGATGATCACATAACATTTGTCCATAATAAATCTCAAATGCGTCTAGTAAAGTAGTGCTTGTTTTCATCAGGGTTTCGTGACAACAATGACTGATTAGGCGGTGTGTTTTTCTGTAGATGTGGATGAGTGTGTGAGAAGTCCGTGCCCACAGGGTTCAGTGTGTGTCAACACAGGTGGCTCTTTCAGCTGTGAATGTGCCCTGGGCTTTGACTTGGAGGATGGCCGCAGTTGTACACAAGGTAGGTGGCCAGTTGTCTACAATAAAATAATGTCCAGAGTGCATACATATATTTTGGTGATAACCCTATGATACCCTTACAGTATTTGCTTTGGCTTTTCCTTGCAGTGAAGACATTTTTGGGCACTTTCACCGTCAACAGCTCAGTGCATCTCAGAAGTTCAGGTCTGCATGAGCTACACAGAGAGATTTTACAGCTGGTATGCAACATTGTACTCTATCACCTGACTCTCACACCATTGCGTCTCACACCTGACTTCTTCACCTTACAGCCTTACAACCCACAGCCAATCAGCTAATGCAGAAACCAACAGAGAATGTAATTGGTTTAACATGATAAAGTTGCTGACGTTAAACCGAGGTCCTGACTCTCTGTGGTCATTAAAAATCCCAAATTTGCCCATTGGCCTCTGATCATCATGGCCTCCTAACAATCCCCATATCTGCTGATTGGCTTCATCACTCTGTCTCCTCTCCACCAGTAAGCTGGTGTGTGGTGGGCGTTCTGGCGCACTATGGCTGCCATCGCATCATCCAGGTGGATGCTGCACACTGGTGGTGGAGGAGGAATTACCCCCTGACAATGTAAAGCGCTTTGAGTGCCTAGAAAAGCGCTATATAAATGTAATGAATTATTATTATTATAAAGTGATGTACGAAACATGGAGTTGAGGTTAATTTGATACATTTGTGTATTGGTTTTTCAGCTCAATGCCTCTCTCTCCATCTTCCATGGTTACCGACGCTCCACTTTGGGTAAAAGGTACGTTTCTACTGATCTTCCAGAGACCCAGCAGTAATTGGCCATATGGAGCACCAAAAAAAACAACTGTACCATGCGGCTAAGATTTTTGTTTTTTGAAAGGCCTCTTATGCTCACCAAGGCTGCATTTATTTGATCAAAAAAAACTTATTTTGGTAAAAACATTTTATCCCTGTGATGGCAAACGCTGAATTTTCAGCAGCCTTTACTCCAGTCTTCAGTGTCACATGATCCTTCAGAAATGTCTAATGTTGAAAATTATTGTGCTGCTTAATATTTCTGTGCACTGTGGTACTTTTTTCAGGATTCTTTGATGCATAGAAAGTTCGAAAGAGCAGCATTTATTTAAAATCGGTATCTTTTGTAACGTTATAAATGTCTTTACTGTCACTTTTGATCAATTTAATGCATCCTTGCTGAATAAAAGTATTTCTTAAAAAAATATTACTGATCCCAAATTTACTTAAAAATCAGTCATATAAATATATCCATTCTCTAATTGATAAAGCATTTAATTTCCATCCAAAAATTGTGTGATACTTTTATCAGTAGAGATTTTGTTCATATCACCGACCTGTTGCAATGTTTCAGTCATTCATATTATTATTAGTATTATATGTAAATTCATATTTTCATTTCTAACTTGAATTCAGGGCATTATTTGGTCCCACTTTATATTAAGTGGCCTTAACTACTATGTACTTACATCAAAAAATAAGTACAATGTACTTATTGTGTCCATATTGTATTTCAAAACACTTTTGCTGCTATTGAGGTTGGAAAAGGGTTTGGTTAGGGACAGGTTTGGTGGTATGGGTAGGTTTAAGGGTGGGTTAAGGTGTAAGGGATGGGTCAACATATAATAATAAATGTAACTATAAATGTAATTACAGAAATTAATTACAGATGTAATTACATGCAGATATTTTTCAAATATAAGTACAATGTAAAAACATGTATGTACACAATAAGTGCATTGTACTAAATTGTTAATTTAAATATAAGTACATAGTAGTTAAGACCACTTAATATAAAGTGGGACCCATTATTTTATTTTGTTCACTCATGTGAATGCAAATGCCTTATGCAGAGATGGAGAAGGTGTGCAGATCTTAGCAGTGAACATGTTTTCACTCCCCACCAATGTGACCAGCACGGATGTCTACAACAGCATCCAGATGTCCCTGAGCAACTGTAGCCGGACGTACTCCCACTGCACCATTAAGCTTCAGCACCATCTCTCCTATCACGGTACCATTCAGCGCTCATTGTATGCATCATACTCTTATCTCAGCTCCTCCGCTCCACTTCGCCACTTCAGAGATATGATAATACCAGTCACACAATATACACAGATAACACAGTCTTGAGGCTCCTAAAATAATATTTTGTAAAGCTCTTTGTCATACTGTTTATCTCTGGGAAGCCATTTGTTCTGAAGAACTTCTTTCTGTTTAGCGGAGAGCCTGTGTTTGGCCCAGAACACCAAGTGTGATTCGCAGTACTCTGTGTGCACGGACACTAGCGGAACCCCATACTGTCAGTGCCACCCAGGATACTTTAAAAAGAATCCAGGGGACATGACCTGCAGAGGTACAACATTCACTTGTGTGTTTTCAGTTCTTTGATTGAATACATTTAAACTGTGGGACTTTGTGGGACACTTGTACTAAAGAATACCAAGTTTCTCATTGAATTTTTTAAATTTTATTTAAACATTGCAATGTTTTTTTAGACTGTGGAGATGGACGCAAACTTGTTAACGGCAGCTGTTTTGAGTAAGTATGTGGTTTTTAAATGCATTTTATGTAAAAAATTACCAGTCAAGGTTTGAACATACCTACTAATTATAGATTATTGTTTTTCCCCAGTTTAGAATTATAAAGTCATTCAAAACTGGGGAAAAACAATAATCTATAATTAGTAGGTATGTTCAAACCTTCACTGGTAATTTTTTACATAAAATGCATTTAAAAACCACATACTTACTCAAAACACCTGCCGTTAACAAGTTTGCGTCCATCTCCACAGTCTAAAAAAACATTGCAATGTTTAAATAAAATTTAAAAAATTCAATGAGAAACTTGGTATTCTTTAGTACAAGTGTCCCACAAAGTCCCACAGTTTAAATGTATTCAATCAAAGAACTGAAAACACACAAGTGAATGTTGTACCTCTGCAGGTCATGTCCCCTGGATTCTTTTTAAAGTATCCTGGGTGGCACTGACAGTATGGGGTTCCGCTAGTGTCCGTGCACACAGAGTACTGCGAATCACACTTGGTGTTCTGGGCCAAACACAGGCTCTCCGCTAAACAGAAAGAAGTTCTTCAGAACAAATGGCTTCCCAGAGATAAACAGTATGACAAAGAGCTTTACAAAATATTATTTTAGGAGCCTCAAGACTGTGTTATCTGTGTATATTGTGTGACTGGTATTATCATATCTCTGAAGTGGCGAAGTGGAGCGGAGGAGCTGAGATAAGAGTATGATGCATACAATGAGCGCTGAATGGTACCGTGATAGGAGAGATGGTGCTGAAGCTTAATGGTGCAGTGGGAGTACGTCCGGCTACAGTTGCTCAGGGACATCTGGATGCTGTTGTAGACATCCGTGCTGGTCACATTGGTGGGGAGTGAAAACATGTTCACTGCTAAGATCTGCACACCTTCTCCATCTCTGCATAAGGCATTTGCATTCACATGAGTGAACAAAATAAAATAATGGGTCCCACTTTATATTAAGTGGTCTTAACTACTATGTACTTATATTTAAATTAACAATTTAGTACAATGCACTTATTGTGTACATACATGTTTTTACATTGTACTTATATTTGACAAATATCTGCATGTAATTACATCTGTAATTAATTTCTGTAATTACATTTATAGTTACATTTATTATTATATGTTGACCCATCCCTTACACCTTAACCCACCCTTAAACCTACCCATACCACCAAACC